CAATGACAAGGCGGGACTGGCATTGGGGGGACGCATCGACCTGGAATCGACGATACATCGCCCATAGAGCGGCGATAGGCCTCCGATAGTGAATCCGCACCTTCGTGAGCAGGCTGGGGCTAATGTCTAAGAACAGTTTGGGCAAAATCTGGGGGGGACACTTAAACAAATAATTCTCTGCGGCGCTGTAATGCGCGTGTGGGAAACAAATCGGGAGCGGCAAAGAGGGGGGTGTCCAAGAGTGGGAGGGGCAAATCATGACCGGCGGCACGTGCGCGGCCCAGCTGGGGGGCCTGGGACGTAATAAAACAAGAAGAGGCGCCATGAAATCTGAGGAAAAATCATGGCCCGCGCCATGAAATCCACCCCCCCCTAATCATCACCCCCCTCTTTTCCGCTCCCGAACAAAAGGAAAGCGGGGCAAACCGGGCCGCCGGGGACGTCCCCGCGACCGCCCGGACACTCCGCGTCCAGGGGCAAATTCCTGCATTGGGCTCGCGCGGGGGAGCAGGTCTTTAGAGACTCCCCGCGTCAAGGACGATCGGCGCCGACGCTCGGCGCGTCAACGACGATCGTCGCCGACGCTTGGCACCGACGCTCGGCGTCGACACTCGGCGCCGACCCTCGGCAGTCGCTCTCGGCGCCGACACTCAGCGCCGACACTCGGCGCGCGCACTCACCACGAATGCACCCTCAGCCCCATCGCCTCACCAGAGTGCACTCACCAGAGTGCACTCTGGTGCACTCTGGGCATTCAAAGGGGGATGCCCCGAGTACAGTGACCCACGCATGGCGACTTCCCCCTCGCGAACAATACAAAAAAACGCCACACGCGCGCGTCGGTGCAGTGTAGGCTGCACGGATGGACGAAAACGTAAAGACCGCGTGCCAACTTGGAAACCCAACTTGCACAAGCTAGAAAAGGTTCGCTGCAGTTCGCAGGTCGGCGCGGCGACGTTCCTATTGCGGACAAAACAGAAACCACCGCGCGAGCGCGCGCGTCGGCGCATTGTAGACTGCACTAAAAGGCGAAAGCGTAAAGACCGCATGTTACGTGGGAAATCCCATCGGCGACCGCTGAGGGCTCACTTCTCATTCCCAGACCAGCATGGCGACTTCCCTGCTGCGGGTAACGCAGAAACCGCCTCGCGCGCCCGCGCGCCTCGGCGCGCTGCATGCCTCGGCGCACTGTAAACTTGGAACTCCAATCTGCAAGCGCTAAGGGTCCACTTTAGTTCCCAGGCCTGCATGGCGACTACCCTGTTGCTGACGATACAGAAACCGCCACACGCGCGGGCCGGCGCATTGTAGGCTGCACCGATACACGAAAACGTATCAACCGCATGCGAAGTTGGAAATCCATTCGGCAAGCGCTAAGGGTTCACGTTAAGGCCTACGCAGCGACATCGATTGCGGACAAAACAGAAACCGCCACGCGAACGCGCGCATCGGCGCATTGTAAACTACAATGGACGAAAACAGACGGAACAACCGCAGGTTAAATGGGCATATCCAATCTGCAACGGCCGCGGGTTCACGACGCACGCGCGCGCGGGCGCGTCGGCGCGTTGCGACTGACCATCGTGGCCATGTGAGTTCGCAGGCCAGCACGAAGACCTTGCGATTGAGAGCCGCCGCGCGCGCGGCGGCCCACGCGCATCCTGCATCCGCCGCGCGCCCCGCGGCCCGCGCGCATCTTGCATGGGAAAACACAATGCGCGAGGGGCCATGGGCCGCCGAGCGCGTGGCGGCCCACGCGCATCTTGCATGGCAACAGCACAGTGCGCGAGGCGCCATGGGGCGCCGCGCGCGCGATGGCCCGCGCGAGTATTGCATGACAAACGCAATGCGCGAGGGGCCACGGAAACCACAAAATGCGCAATGGCCCACGCGAGTATTGCATGACAGACGCAATGCGCAACCGCCGCGTGCATCTTGCATGGGAAACCACCACGCGCGATGGGGCCCGGGCCACCGCGCGAGCGATGGCTCACACGCACCTCGACGGACGAACACCACGCGCGAGCGTGCCAAGGGCCGCCGCGCGCGCGCGCCTGCCCGCGCGCATCTTGCACGAACGCGCGCAATACGCGAGGGGCCATGGTCGCCGCGTAAGCGATGGCCCACGCGCACCTTGCATGGAAAAGCAATGCGCGAAAGCGTCATGGACCGCCGCGCGCGCGCGGCGGCCCACGCGCGTCTTGCGCCGAAACGCGCAATGCGCGAGAGGCCAGGGCCGCCGCGCGCGCGGCGGCCCACGCGCGTCTTGCATGGAACATCAATGCGCGAGGGGCCGGGGCCGCCGCGCACGCGGCGGCCCGCGCTCATCTTGCATGGAAAAATGCAACGCGCGAAAGCCAATGGGCTGCCGCGCCCGCGGCGGTCCACGCGCATCTTGAATGGGCGCACGCAGCGCGCGATAGGCAATGGGCCGCCGCGCGAGCGGCGAAGCCCACGCGCACTTTGCACGAAAGAAAAACAATGCGCAAGGGGCACAGGGCCGCCGCGCGCGCGGCGGCCCACGCGCATCTCCGAAAAACAAAGAGAGCGCGAGGGGCCATGGGCCGCCGCGCGCGCGGCGGACACCGCGCATCTTATATAACACGCCGTGAGAGAGGGAACAGGGCCGCCGCGCTCGCGGCGGCCCACGCGCGTCTTGCATGGAAAAGAAGCAACGCGCGAGGGGCCAGTGCCCCCGCGCGCGCAGCGGCCCACGCACATCTTATATGGAAAGATAGTCTGCGCGAGGGGCCAGGGCCGCCGCGCGCGCGGCGGCCCACGCGCATCCTGCATGGAAAAAAAAAAGCAACGCGCGAGGGGGCATGGCCCGCCGCGCGCGAACGGCGGTCCACGCGCATCTTGAGCTGAAAAACGAAATTCGCGAGGCGCCACGGGCCGCCGCGGCCGCGGCGGCCCACCCGCACCTTGCATTGAACAACTCGACGCGTGAGGGGCGATGGGCTGTCGCGCGCGCGGCGGCCCGCGCGCGTCTCGCATGGAAGAAACAAAGTGCGCGAGGGGCCAGGGCCGCCGCGCGCGACGGCCCACGCGCATCTTGCCTGGAAAAACACGATGCGCGATGGCGCATCCTGCATGGAAACACCATGCGCGAGAGGCTATGGGCCGCCGCGCGCGCTGCGTCCAACGCGCGCTGTGCACGGAAAAGCACAATGCGCGACCGGCCAGGGCCGCCGTGCACGCGGCGGCCCATGCACATCTCGTGGGACAAAAAAAACAACACAACGCGCGAGGAACCACGGGCCGCCGCGCGCGGGGCGGCGCACGCGCACCTTGTACGGAACAACACAACACAACTCGCGAGGGGCAACGGGCGGCCGCGCGCGCGGTCGCCCCCGCGCATCCTGCAAGGAAAAAACTCAATGAGCGAGTAGCCAGGGCAAGCGCGCGCACGGCGGCCCACGCGCATCTTGCACAGAAACACACACATACACACACACGAACACTGCGCGAGGGGTCATGGGCCGCCGCGCGAGCGATGGCCCACGCGCACCTTGTATGGAAAAACGCAACGCGCAAAGGGCACAGGGCCGCCGCGCGCGCGGCGGCTCACGCGCATCCTGCATGGACAAACGCACCGCGCGAGGGGCCCGGGCCGCCGCGCGCGGCGGCCTTGGCCCATTTTGCGTGGGAAAACGCACAATGCCCGAGGGGCGCGAGCGGCGGCCCTGGCCCATTCTGTACGGGAAAACGCGCAGCGCGCGAGGACAAAGCCGCCGCCCGCGCGGCGGCTTTGGCCCGTTCTGTGCTGGAGAACACACCATGCGCGAAGCGCGAGGGGCGACGCGCGCGCGGCGGCCTTGTCACACTGCGTGAGGAAACGCAACACTGCGCGAGGGGCAAGGCCGCCGCGCACGCGGCCGCCATGGCCCATGCTGTGTGGGAAGCGTACGCACGCATAGTGTCCCAGTAGGACGAGAATTACTGATTCGTCGACCGGAACAGCCTATACATCTGCACGCCAGCACTTCGAATGCATTTCCCAATGCGTGCGCGTGTGTATATAGGTTTACAATACAGACGTATGTTCGCTCTCCGTCGAATGTTTCTCCAGGGGGGCAGTTAAACAAATAATTATCCGCCCGCGTAGTAATGACACTCGGGATCCGGGGAGGGGGGGTCATCATGTTTAAAACAAGTTTTGGACATTATCGGGCCCCTGTCGTTGTGTCGCTCCCATCGTACATGAGGACCAAATCTCAGAGATGATTTCGAGCACCCGGAAAAGTGTCGAAACAGTGTCGCAATAGTATCGAAGGAGTGTCCCCTGGGGTCCGACACGTGAAAACCCTCGAATCTCGGTGCTCTACTGGTGCTCGAGATTCTTTCTGGTGATCAAGGCTACAGTCGGTTGAAACATCACAACTATCGGCGATCAGTGGGCGAGTGGGGGGTCGATTAATGCCGCCCTATGCCTGTCCGCAGGTCGTGCGTGTCCCCCTACAGGCGAATTTTGGATACACATATATCTATATACACACATATACATCCATGCATGCATGCATACATGCATACATACATACACACATACATACATACATACATACATACACACATTCATTCATTCATTCATTCATTCATACATACATACAAACAAACATACATACATACATACATACATACATACACACACATACATACATACATACATATCTACATACATACATACATACATACATACATACATACCTACATACATACATACATACATACATACCTGACTACCTACCTACCTACCTACTTACATACATACATACATACATACATTCCCACATACATACATACATACATACATATGTGTGTGCATGTCCATATATATATATATATGTGTAGAAACTCCAAACAATGATGAAACATATACTCCCCCGATTTGTTTCGACTGATTGGGAATCTTCCTCCTGTAGGGGGACAGGCCCTAGTTAAGCTTATGCCCCGAGCGAAGGAGCACCGACCGCGCTTGGGGGGAGAGGCCGCCCGCCGACCGACGACCAGGCCGCCGCCGCCTCGCCCCGCAGCTCCTCCCCGAGGTTGCGCTCCTGGGGCAGAGCCCGGTCCGCATCGAGCCCGCAAATCTGAGCATCGCTTCACCAATCCCCTCCCCCTCCCCCTCCCCCTCCCCCTCCTCCGCCTCCTCCTCCGCCTCCTCCATTTCCTCCAGTTCCTCCATCTCCTCCTCCTACATCTCCTCCTTCTCCTCCTCCCCTCCTCCTCCTCCTCCTTCTCCTACTCCTCCCCCTCCTCCTCCTCCCCTCCTCCTCCTCCGCCTCCCCCTCCATTTCCTCCTCTCCTCCTCCTCCTCCTCCTCCTCCTCCCTCCTCCTGCTCTCCTCATCCTCATCCTCATCGTCGTCATCGTCATCATCATCATCATCATCATCATCATCATCATCATCATCATCATCATCATCATCATCATCATCATCATCATCATCATCATCAATCATCATTTTCATCCTCCTCCATTTCCTCCTTCCCCTCCTCCTACTCCTCCTCCTACTCCTCATCATCATCACAATCAGCATCAGCATCAGCATCAGCATCAGCAGCATCAGCATCATCATCAGCATCAGCATCATCATCAGCATCATCATCATCAGCATCATCAGCATCATCATCATCGTCATCATCGTCATCATCATCATCGTCATCATCATCATCATTACCATTATCATCATCATCATCATCATCATCATCATCATCATCATCATCATCATCATCATCATCATCATCATGTTCATCATCATCATCATCATCATCATCATCATCATCATCATCATCATCATCATCATCATCATCATCATCATCATCATCATCATCATCATTTCATCATCATGAATATCTTTCCACCGATCCCGATCCCCACCTGCATGGCTCGGGCCCCGCTGCGGCCGAGAAACCACCCTGCCTCCCTGCCGTTGCCCCTGGCTCGCCCCCACCCGAGGAGCGAAGATCGGAGATCGGGGACGAGGGATCTAGACGAACAAAAAACAATAAAAATAAGCTTTACCCGATCTGCGCGGATGTCTTGGATCTGCGCTGGACCCCCTCCCTGGCGCGCGGAGCGCGCCAGGGGCGGCGCCGGAGACGCCACCGGGGGGGCCCAAACGCGGATCCAAGAAATCCGCGCGGAGCGTAACAAATTTTGTTAGTGGTGTTTTTCTTCTTCGAGGACGGGACCAGACCGGACTGTGGACGCAGCGGTCCTGCCCGTCCCGCGGGACGGAAGGCCCCCTGCGTGGGGCGGGGCGGTGGCGCCTCGGCGCCAGCAGAAGTGTGGAGAACACCGCGCAAAATTACAGATGGGGAAAGGGGAACAGGAAACAGAAAACGGTTCGCCGCTTCACACGATCAGAATACCACGTCGCGTTCGTTGTTTGTTTGCCGAGCAGTGCGCAGAAGGCACCTGGACCGAGCCAGCGTGCCTCCACTCTCGCTGCCGGGACGAGGAGGAGGACGACGACGACGACGATGCGGGAGGGGAGAGGGGCGGAAGAGGACATGGAGGGGATGCAAGCTGATAATGAAATTGGCTGCGCCGAATCCCTCGGCACGGCCGCATGGGGGGGAGGGGGGAGATGAGTCGACGCAACGCAATCGCGCACCCAGGAAGGCGAAGCCGACCTGGGGGTCCTGTCTGAAGAAGGGCCGTGGGTCTACCTGCTACTGCAGAAGCCACGGCTGCCATCCCTCCGCCTCGCGGCCGCACCAGACCTCGCTCTCCACCGCCTTATGCACGCCAGGATATACTTCTGTGGCAACTCATGGGAGTCTCCTATGCCATCTTGCTGGCTCATGCGAATCCACGCTAACCGACGCCAATCTAATCTAAGATAATCGACACAAAATGCGCCGACCCTGTCGGCGTGTGGAAAACGCTCTTTCGTTGGTCGCCATCGTCGTAGTCGTCGTCGTGTCGTCTCCGTCGTCTACTCGTCGTCTCCGTGAATCGTCGTCTCCGTCGTCCCCCGTCTCCTTTCCCTGGGCCCTCCTCCTTAAGCGCACCTGCCAAACCGATATGTAGCCACGTCGTAGCTGAATCGACGGGAAGCCCCTTCCCTTTGATCCCTTCCCAGCCGGTAGAGGGGCGTCCCAGGGGGTGACACCCGGGAGGGTCTCGGGCGGTGGGTCGCCGCCAAGATACGCGCATCCTTCCCGGGCGGTTCTGGGGCCCGGAAAAGCCACAAGACGCGGCAAGAGTGCCCCAAAATGCCCCCCAGACGGTCCTCGAGGGCCCCGAATCGCCAAATCATCGGTCCAAGAAGCCGAAGTAGCCTCCAGACAGCTCAAGAGGTATTCAAAACGCCCTAAGAGGTCTCCAAGAGCACTCCCAAGAGGGCCCCAAGGGGCAAACATCTGAGATGTTCCTTGATTTGTTTTATGGATTTGACCGTTCTCGCCTTGTCGGCTTCCCGACGCTCCAAGACAGCCCAAGAGGCCCCCAAGATCGCCCCAGAAGCCTTCAAGAGGGCCCCAACGCGACCCCAGAGAGCCCTTAAGACCGCCCAAGAGGCCTCCAAGGCAGCCCAAGAGGCTCCCAAGACAGCTCCAAGACGAACCCCAGACGGGGAACTCGAACGGACATTTCGAGCCCTCGGCCTGAGAGGTTCCCAGGAGGCCTGCAGATGTCCCCAAGAAGCCTTCCTATAGGCCCAAAAAGGCTCCCTCAAAGGCCCCCACGAGGGTCCTAAGAAGCCCCCAAGAACTTCCCAAGAAGCCCCAAAACTACCCCAAAGAGGCCCCCAAGAGCGCTCGTCGTCGTCGTCGTCGTCGTCGTCGTCGTCGTCGTCGTCGTCGTCGTCGGCGACATCGTCGTCGTCGTCGAGGCACCGGCCGTAAGACCCCTTCCATTCGGCGCTAATGGAGGCTAACTCGGCGCTTCTCAAAGATTACTGAAAACTGGAGCGCGCGACTGTACTCTGTAGACGGGTTTTCGAACCCAACGACCTTGCCGGCGTGTGGAAGCAGCCCTTGCGTTCGTCGTTGTTTCAATTGTCGTTTCCTCGTCGTTGTCGTCGCCGTCGCCATTCCAAGTTTTCGCCTGGGCCGCCTTGTCCGACGCGCCAACCGTTGCCTCTCTTACCCTGGGCCATTCTCCTCAAACGAGCTCACCCAAACGATAGAGACGGACGCCGCAATGCACTCGAAGGGAAGCCCCTCCACTTGCTCCCATCCCCGCCGGGGGGTCCAGGGGGTCGGGCCCAGGGGAGACACGAAGGGGGGGCTGGGGGGAGACCCGAGCGAAGGGTCCTGGGTCAGAATGCCCCTCCCCCCCCCCAGAATGGGGTCCCAAAACCCAAAGCCGAACCAAGACTGCCCCAAAAGGCCCACAAGACGGTCCAAGAGGGACCCGGATCTCCGCACAATCGGTCCAAGACGCCAAAGTAGCCTCCAGACGGCGCAAGAGAATCCAAGCCGCCCCAGAGGCCCCCAAAAGCACTCCCAAGAGGGCCCCGAGAGGCAAACATAATTGATTTCTCTCGGGTTGTTGATTGATTTTGGGGTTTTTGCCTTTTCGGCTTCCCGACACTCCAAGACGGCCCAAGAGGGCCCCAACATCACCCCAAAGAAGCCCAACAGGCCTCCGAGAGGGCCCCAGAACGACCCACGAGGGCCCCGAGACGGTTCAAGGGGCCTCCAAGACGGCCCAAGAGTTGTAACTTGTGAGCCGTGGAAAACCTCGAATTCTCTCCAGAATCCAGAAACGATCTAAAATGAATGAGAATACGTTTTCGTGGAAAACACAAAATAGTGCCAACATGCGATTCCAATGTGACAGCCACTGCTTTTCCCAGAAACGGCCCTGTTGAAGTCGGCCGCGGCGATTTCTCATTCGCCCCAGGTGCTTCGAACCTAGCTACCCTAAGCGTTGCCCGATCTGCGCCCCACTCACGAAGAGGTAAGAGCACCCTGAGGATCACACCCCCCGCCAACAGTTCACAGAACGTAGCCCGCAACAGCTGGGGCCCCCATCAAGGGCTACACGTTGCCAATGGATGTGTGCCGCAAACTGAATACATCCGTTGTTGGGCTGAAGCTATATGTTGGGTCGACGCGGCGCAACACGTAATCAGCCCACGTGTAAAATCGCGCATTGCTGGCGTGCCTGCACGGCCCGCTGAGGCGCCCGACTGGCCGCGGCCGAACAACCCCTGGGAAGATAACGAACGCGTCGTCTTAGCGCACCGCGCCATGCAATTCCACGAACCGGTGAGTTATGATGCTAGTCGCGCGGGGTGGTGGTGGGGTGATCGATGTAGCGACCCAATATGCGCGGTCTGTGAATGGCGGTTTCGCTCAACGGACCGCGTGCTCATGGCTGGGTGGCGTCGGCACGGCTTGATCGTGACACCAGAAGGCCAAAGCTCGGCCGCGAGTTACGGGCGGTCAACGCCATTGGTCGGGGCCACGCGCATCCAAAGACATTGCGGACCTGCGCCCCGTGAAGTGCGGCCCGGCATTGGCCCGAACCACGCGATGCCACCCCGTTGCCACACTTCCCCGAAGCGTGATGTGGATACCATCCGTAGCCCAATAACGGATGCAATCAGCATGACGTACAAATCTGATTGCAACACCTGGGCACCAACGCTGAGCTACCAGATGATTGAACAAATTGCATGATACGCGGGATAAGTCACGGCTCGTGGCCCGACTGTTCGGCATCTGCCTGCGCCGCCACCACGAATGGGCCAGGCGTTCAAGGTGAGTAAATGCCCGCGTCGCCCCACTTCCCAAGAAGCTCCCTAGATATTCCAAAGGGGCCCCCCAGGAGGCTCCAACGACGCGCCCGAGGAGCCACCGAGAGGTACCACAAGACGCCCCAACCATGACCCCGCAGGCCGCTCACCCACAACCCGAGCGCGGCGGCTGGATGGCCCGAAGGCCGCCATGCATATAAAACGCCTTCGTCACAGAAACCTCGCAACGCATGATCGGTGGAGTCGCCGCGCCAGGCAGCGGGGGGGAGAGCGGAGCCCGCGGCAGGACGCGCGGGCGAATAGAGAAGAACAGAGGGGGCAACAAAGAAGACGCAGGAGCAGCTCGGCGGCCTGCGCTGCCTGAGCCTCGCCCCGCGCCGGAGGGAATCAGGGGCGCCGCCGGTGCGTTTTGCAAGGGGGGGGGGGGGGGGGGGGCGCCCCAGAGTCAGAGTTGCGACTAGCGGACGGGCGCAAGCAGCGTGTCCAGGCGAAAACCTTGCATTCGCTACATCATTGAGGCCCGTCGATGTCGCGGTCATCTCAATGGCTCCTCTCTGCCGCCCTGCCCCTTCCTCCCCCCTCAAGCTCTGGCCCGCGTGCCGCTCCGCACTCCGCCCCTGCTACCGAGCCAATGCCGAGCGACTACCGTCGCAAGAAGATCGGCTCGATGGCCATGGCGCGGCGTCCTCGACGGGCTCGATCATCTCCAGGGCGCCAAATTTTCCATGCTCGCAATTGCCGTTATCATGAACTTCCTTGCGGCCGCAGCGTTGGCGCCCGCCTTCTGGGTGCCCCGCTGCGACTGGTACTTGCAGAGCGTCTTGGTGGCGCGGCGACAGATCGCAATCATCTCATCGGACGTCTTCTCTGGTGGCAGGTCCACGCGGAACGTCTGCTCCGCGTTCTTGAGGTTCTCCAGCTGCTGGAACTTGCGGGCCGCTTCGCCCTTGGAGATGTCAAAGGGAATCGCCTGGGCGAGAGTCTTGTTGAAGCGGGCGGTGGGGTCGCCAATGCTGGCGGCGCCGGGTAACCCGCCCATCTGACCGCAACTGGTTGACCTGTCCGCCTTCGATCTCGTTCGGGGGGACCTCCTCGGACCCCCCCCCCCCCCAAGGACGCCTCCAACGCAGCGGTTGAGACCTGGTCGAACAGCATAGCCTTAAGCTCGATTGCTGCAGGCTCGAAGCCCTCGATGAACAGGTCGTCGATGAGCTTCGCCTCTGCGCCCATGTCTGCGTTCTTCCCGTTGGGCGCCTGGTCGAGCGAACCCAGGATGGCGCTCGCTGCGTGAGGAGGGACGTCGGCGAGGTGATCCTTGAGAACGTCGGCCCCCCCAAATAGGTCACGGTACAATCGCGCCAGCGCGTGGTAGATCCTTGTCTTGTCGAGTAAGGAGCTGGCGAAACGGCCCCAAAAGACACTCGGAACCCATGGGGGCGCGCAGTTGATCCACATCCAGGCGGTCTCGACGTCGGAGTTACTGCGACACGTTCTCCAGGTGCCCCTCTTCTCTAAGATGGCATCCAAGGCAGCCTCAGTGAAGCCGCGGATCCTGTCGATAGCAGCTTTCGCGGCAAGCTCGCGAGGCCCCTCGAGCATGCCAAAAATCGCGGCAACGCGCTGCAAACGCTTGCTCTCGGCGTTGTATGCGCCGATGCCCTGTGCGAAATTCCCCAACAGTGCGTGTCCATGACTCTCCGGCTTGGCGGCGCGCACGGTTGCGAGCGGGTTCCGCAAATTGGCGTTCGCCCCGAAGACCTCCAGCGCCAACTTTACGACTGCCTCTGCTTGGTCGGGTTGCACTGGGGCCGCGAGACCTTGCGACAGAAGCTGCGTCGCCGTTGCCAGGTGCGCGTCGGCGACTCCCTTGAGCCAAGCGTCGCAGGGCGCGACCTCGGACGGCGGCAATGCCCTTTCGATCGCGTGCACGTCGGCGAGGCACTGCGGCGTCGCATCTAAATTGATCGCATGCTCTGCGGGTGGCTTCTTGTGGTCCACAATGACAGGGTTCCAGAACTTCAGCGGTGGAGAGTACTTCAATCACTGGCCCCAGCGTTCGCCCCGGACGGGAATCGCGCGCCAGCTGGCGCGCGACGGGCCCTCAATCGTAGTGGCCTTTGACTTGGCGAACATGTCCATCTGCCCCGGGACCGAAGTGTCGGCCGTAGCCCCGCCGACCGTGTGCAAGCACATCAACGCCTGCATGACCTCGCCGCCAGCGCTGTCGACCTCGGGCTCGCATGACATCGGCATGCCCTTAATCGCGGCGAAAAAGCCTCCCAGCGATATCCATCGTTGCGGCGAACGTGCTCTTGCCCCCGTGGAGGTAGATCACGAGGGCGCTCTTGACGACCGCGTCCTTGGACAGGCTCGCCATCTCGATCGGCGCTAGACGCATATGCGACAGCGCGGGCTCCAAGCAACTAAACATCTCGGGCTCTTCCGCGCGCGCTGACTCCCCCTCGGGGGGCCGCGGCCAGACAAGCCCCTGATGGCGCCCGCGTTCGAGCAAACATCAGCCTCAGCTTTCAAATCGGCAATGGCCGGATCATCCGAGAGGGACCGCCGGAAGCGCGCAAGAATGTTCGCGGGCCCCTCGTCGAGGTCATTGCGCGAGATGTCGAGGCCCCCCCGATTCATGGCAGCAGTGTCCCTTGCCTTCTGGTCACCTGCTTTCTTCGCCTTCTCTGACTGCTTCAACCGCGAGGTAGCGGCGTCGAGACCCCGACCGCCCCCAGAGTATTTGGAGAGGGTCTCCCACAGGCAACGGATTGGATGCCCCCTCGCACGCTCAGCCAGAAGCGTGTGAATCTTGACCTTGCCCATCGGACCCCTTCGAGACGACCTTGCTGAGGTTTGCCGGGCCGCTGCAAGAAAAAACTGCAAATCGCATCCCCGGTGGGGCATGCTGGAGGGGGGGGGGCTGGGGCACCTGGGCAGCGCCCCCAGGCCACCTACCTAGCACCCAGCGCCGTTGCCAAGAACGATTCACGACCCCTCTCGACCCCTCTTGAAGTATGAAAGATGTGATTCTCCGCCCAATCATTATGTTAAGTCGCCCTCAAACCTTAGCTTGCTCGTCGCCCCATCCGCCCCCACCTCGGAAGACGGGCCCACCGCGCTGGCCGAAGGTGCCCCAATCATAACCGACGCGGCCCCGCTCGCCTTGCCGTCGGGGGCCGCTTGGGCGCATGATTGCGCAGCCGTCTTCGGAGGCGACGCAGGTGGCCCCATGTGAGTCTGCGGGGCTGCCGCAGCACGCGAACCACTCCCGAGCTCGCCATCGCTGCCGAGGGGCTGCTGCCCCAGCTAATCCGTGGACTCCCTGATATCCTGGCCCATCGTCTGGATCGCCTCCTCCGCCCTGAACTGCTGCGCCATCTCCAGTGCCATCTCATGCGTCGACGCGTCGGTGAAGCCCTTCATGTCGGTGCACATCTGGTCGACGGGTGCGCCCCAGTGAGCTTCGGCCTGGCCGCTCCAGAGCATCTGGTCATTCGGCGCGACGCACTGCTCAGGCCCAATCGCCCTGCGACGGACTACGATCTCGATGGTGTGGGGCTGGCACGGGTTGACCTGCGCGACCCTCGCCCGCGTCGCGCCAGTCATGTCAGCGATCGAGACTTCCTTAATTGTGTTGAGCCTCAACGCCCTGCACGACTGCACCGTGCCCTCGAAGGGCGCGGCGTCGGCGGCGACCGAGTCGATCGCACTCTCCTGTGGGAGCTCGCCGCCGATCTCGCGTACCACCGCGCGCGCGTTGTCCAAGCCCCCCGTGGCCAAATCGTCGCCGCGGTTCTTGTCGCACAGGCCGCCCCGCCCCCAGCAAGGGAACGCCGCGTCGCGCGTCTCCCCGCAGGCAGCGCAACGAGTAGCCTGATCCATGCGGCACTGCCTGAGGGTCGCTCGGCAGATGCCGCAAACCCATATTAGCGACTGTCTTCGGCTTCTGGTCTGGAAGGTCGCCAGCGTGGCCACGAGCTCCCGGATAGTGGCCGCGCTCTGCCTCTCTGCCGCGCAAGCGCTTGGGAGGAGGACGCGACCCAGAAGACGCAGACCGAGCCTCGGGCTCGCCGCTGCTGCTGCCAGGGCCACTGCCACAGGCCTTCTTGGCCATCCCGCCAGCGTGGGGAATGCCGTGGGAAGCCCGCTGCAAAATGTACCCCTCGGGCTGCATGAACAGAAGTGGCAGCGGGAGCAGGAGGGAGATGGGGGGCGAATGAACTTGGGAAGGGTGGCAGGAAGAAGGGCGCCACTCGAACATTTGCAATGCGCGGGAATGCCCAAGGAAGGCAGGCCCAATGGGGCCTGAAGAACGAAGGGGGGCACTTGCCCTGGGCCATGGGGGCGCAGACCCTTCCGGACAGCAAAGAGCTCTGGCGCGCATCTGAGAAGGCCAAGGGACCAAGAGTCGAGAGGCCCATCCTTCGAATGCACGCGGCATCAGACTGCCCCGACGCGACTACACCACAGCATATTGGGAAGTGCAGCACATACATGCTGCATCGCGACCGCAACGGCAATTCCAGCCCAACCCTCCCATGCGCCGTGCACCCCACCACATAATGCAATATGCGTGTAAAAGCTCGAGGGTCGGAGTTCGACCCGTGATCACGACTGAACATGCTGCATCGTTATTATTACCTTTTCGCGATGCATACAACAAGCGCGCATGATATAGTCAGATTCGCGTCGGCAGTTCGGCCCCAACGTGCAAACACACCTCGACGCTAGACATGCTTCGTGCGAGCCGTTACCACGCAGGCGAAGTGGCGTGACTGCGACGGCCTAAACAACTGGAGCGGAAGCGATGCAACACACAATGCATACAACGCGCGCGCATCGCACGACTAGATTTCATGAGTTGGTGGTGCACGGAGGAGGGTGCGCTCCGAATTTGCGAAGTTAAGGTGCTATAAGTTGGTACCAAAAGAACGCGACGCGCGGGCGACGACGAACGAACGGCCCCCTTTACCTAATCATTGCATGTTAGCAGCGCGGACCCCTGCTCGCGCCATGGAATTTGGCGCGCGGCCGGCTGCGTTAGCGATGCAAGCGTACTGCAACATTTGGACAGGGCAATGCGCCCTTGCACGCGGCCCCGCCCAAGCTCCAGCCACTTGAAGTCTGCGCCCGACGTCGGCCCAAAAAGGCCCGCCCAAGTGCAAACGGGCAACCGTGCCATCGGCCATGTCGATGCCCGCGGCCTGGACCGCATGCGCCTGCATTAACGTGACCACCGCTTGCCAAAACTGCGAAGCCATAGAGATGGCCCAAGCCAGTGCTCAATGGGGGGGAACTTCGCGCCTGCGTTGACAAGCGCCCGAGTCCGAAGCCAAGCCCAATCACAATGCGAAACCGAAGGTGGACAGTGGGCGCCAGCTCAGGCCTCGCGCCAGCCAAATCACGAGCCAGCGCCACCGCCCATGCCTCGCCCTATGCGCGGCACCACGCGCAGGCAACGCCCCCATGCGGAGCTCGGCTCCAAGACCAGACCCAGACAAAACGCGAACCACTTGCACCATGGAGCGGTCGAAACATCGCCAGCGCGCACGCGCAGGCCGCGGCCGAATGCTGCGCCCACGCGCGACTGCTAGCACAAGTCAACGTCCGCGCCCCTGCCGGGGCCTTGGCACAAGCGAAAGAGTCAGCGCAGGCCCGCGCCCGCAACCATGCGCCAATCCACGCCCAAGCCCCGGCCGAAGACCAAGATGCGCGCCAACCCGCGTAAGACTGCAATCGCTGGCCCGCGCCCAAGCCCGACAACGAGTTCATTGTTCAAGCGCGATCGCGAGCGCGAGCGCAGGCCCCAGCCCGCGACCAAGCCCCGAACCAAGCGCATGCGAGAGCCGAGCAGCTGTTCCCGCCGCAGCCCCGGCCGAATCCAGGATGAAACGCAGTGTCCACGGCAGTGCGAAGAGCAATGCGCCTGCACAAGTTTCTTCCACAACAGTTACCAACCCGTACCAGCGGCGTCACTAGCCGCTGTGCACAGCCCAGGCCAACGCACCCCAAGTCACTATAGCTCGGCGTTGCCACACAGGTGCTGTCATCAGTTATTGTAGAAATGTGACGCGGACCCAGTGCGGACTTGGGCCATGGCCCATCGCGCTGGCCATCTGGCCACGAGGGCGCCCAGACGCGCCGCGTGCGCACGACGCCGAAATGGCGCGGTGCAGCCCGTTCCGATCGCACGGAGTTATCTGAACTCGTCGCGGCTGTCGTTACTGGATAGCGACGCGCGCTCGAAGACGGCAGCATGCAACGGTGCAACGCGGACCATGGCTTGACAGCCGCCTGGCCGCATGCCGCCAAGCTTCGCGCCGACGAAGGACGCCGCAATCATGGGCGCGCGCGCCTTGCAGGCGCGCGCTGCGCGCCCTGACCTCAAGCGCGCCAGCGCGCGGCCCGCGACGCATGCGCGCGCGTTTGCGCGGGGCCCCGCGCGGCGCGCCTACTTGCCGCGCCAGCGCTCATCGTTAACGTTCTATGGCGACGCAACAGGCGCAAAACCATGCGCCCCCAGCCTGCGTCTCCAGACATGCACGCGGCCGGCCGCGCCGCCAAGCACGTTGCAACATCCCCCCTCCCCCCGACGCGCGCCGCCCCCCGGGATGAACAGACGCCAGATGCGACATCGCCGTTCGGTTGCCCCCCCCCCCGCCGCGCGCGCCACCGCCGCCGCCGCGCGCCCCCACCGCGCCCCATCATGATGACAGCCACCACAGCGCGCACGCGCACAACTTGCGCGCGCATTATCAGAGGACGACATGAGGGGGGGGGGGGCATGAGCATGGGGCAATCGCCGCGCGCTTCTCCAACGCTGTAGCTGGTTGGTCCAGACGCCGAGCATGCGCCAAGCGCCTCGAGCGCTGCGCCGGGCGCTCGGCAGGCAACCAGGGGAAACCGACGGCGCGGGGCAGCTGGCCGGCGCATTGGATGCGCTTCTTGGGGGCGGCGTTGGCGCGCGACTTACGCGCCCTCTGCCACCTTTCCCTCGCGGTGTCTGGCAGTGCGGGTCAGTCAGCCTTGCAGCAGTTGCGCGATGAAGCATTTCGGTGGCTGCGGCGGCAACGCGCCATGGATGTGCTGGCGTCGCGAGCGTGAGGCGCTGCGGCTGGGCCGATCGAATTGTCCAACCGCTGGCGCTGCATCGCATACTCGCCGCCGACGGGGCAAGGCAGCGTTCTTCGTTATCGCTGACCGAGCGGGGTAGCCACAGCAGCCGCGCCCCCCCCGCCATCGCCCAAGGGAAGGGGAGGGGGGGCGAGGACAATTTACATGAGAAACCAACCTATCGGCGCGAATGATCAGCCCTCAGACGGCGGAATGGAACGCACTCCAACTGCGCCGCGGCGCCACTGCGACGTTCAAGAGCGGCGCTTTACCCTTGCGCGCGCGGATTGCAACCGAACGGCGCCCGCGGACGCGGCGCGCCATAATAACAGCGCATCAAGCCAC